TCAAAAACGTTGGCATAGAGGTCAGATCTTGGTGCGACTATGAGCTGCAAGAATCCCAATATACACCCAAGGACAAATAGGATAGGCATGTCTATGAAACCTGCCCTGAAGCCGAAAGGACCGACGGTGGCACTGGCAACACCATAAAGCAAGACCTGGATCCAAGGATTGTGCTTGGGCTTTCGTGCCATAATCTCATCAAGTCTTTTCGTTGCCTCTTCGACTCCGATAATGTCGTGTACTACCTCTTTGTACACAAGATGGCAATCATGCAATTTCCCGAGGTCAACACCCTGTGCGGCACGGACAATTTGCATATCAGACGTGTGGGTCGACTGATCACCGAAAGATATGATCATGCACCCTGGTAAATATAGAAATTGTCCATCAATCTCGAGCACTCGGGACGTCATTTTCAGTGCCTCTGTGGGTGATGCATAGTTAGCATTCTGAAATCTCAAACGAAAGGGATAGCTGATGATACCTTCCAATCTATGGGTGGGAGCACCATAGAGCATGAGCGCCCTGCAAATTTTGATAATATATCTCTGTCGTTGAAGTGTCTCTGCAATATGAACAGTTATCTGATAGAGTTGTTCGGTTAGTTGTGTATATTCAAGGACAGTAGCTGTGCTCTTACCCTTATCTCCTCCTCCAAATTTTGCCTGGATAGGCTCTTCAGTTTATCCACAAAACCTCCGCTATAAGGCCGATGTTTCGGTTTTGGCCGTTCTCTCCTTCCAGCACTCACCACTGGCCCAGTGCCAACCACTGCACCGCCAGCAGCTGGTGCTACCATTGTCTTCCCAGAAGCAGCCAGAAGACCACCAAGTGAAGTTGTAGAGTGATTGGCACTTTTGCTGTACCATTTCGGAGTTGAGCGACCAGAAGCGGGTAAGCTGCTAGTGCTCCCTGTATGGCGATGTCCTTGTCGTGTTTCGTGCTCATTTGGATTATTGTACAGTGTCAACAAGCTGCCCAATACACCACCACGAAACTGCTCTGGTTTCCTAACGTAGTCTCCATGCCTAGGAGTGATAGGAGTTTCATACCCCGGGACCGGTTCATCAAGTTTCGACTCACTTAGGCCAGCTTGCATAAATCTTCCTCCGGCTGGCGATCTTCGACGGGTGTGTTGTCGTACCAGATCCACTGCTTCTCGAGTAGCTAGAACTTTAGGTCTATCCGGGTCAATCACACCTTCTTGGTCTCCAGTAGCCGACGCTTGGCCGGTAAGGCATAACAATGGAATATCAACAGCCACAGCACCTTGTGCTCCCCCAGCTCCCACAGAGAATGCATCAAGTGTTGGCGAGCCGGGTACGGAATTCGGAGCGGAATAGCTTCCCCCAAGCCTGGCCACTCTTTCTTGGGGAGACAGGTTGTCTCGTGGAGCAAAATCGTCGTACTTTTCGTTCAATTCCTCCTCCTCGTCAATTACCGGTTTTTTGTAAGTGAAAGTCCGTGGCGGCACACTGATCGACGTTCTCGGGGTTGGAGCAATGGAGGAACTTCCACCAATGCCTGGAATAGGCTCTGGAGATTCTGTGAGGTAACGTTGTAGGTCGATTTCAGTTGGCGTGACTGAGGTAGGACGAGACGATTCCCCTGGAGAATTGGCATCCCTGAGATCGAAGGAAGTCTTGTTTCCCAGTAGGTCCAGTGCTTCCCCGTTACCAAACCGAACTTCCTGTTGGCCCCGGGATCGACTACCGATTGTGGAATTCCTACAGCTAGAGGCAGTGGAGTTTGGATTCGAATTCGAAGGAGTGCGTTCAGGGTCGTCGACGAAAGGATTGCCTCCTTCCCCAGAAGGTGAAGAATTGGAGGACATGACTGGAAAGTGGGACAAGGCCGAAACTTTGACAGGAAGTAGAACGATATAGAAACTTGAACTGGTCTATCAAAACCAAAACAGGAGAAATTCTGACGATGTTCGGACAGGTGATCTGAGATTCGGAGATATGTGAATTCTGTTTGCCACAGGCCTAGACTGTAGTACTACACAGAGTTTTTCCGTTAGACTAATTCAATTGAGGGGGTGACGTCTGACGCAGGTACATGGGGGAAGTTTGTAAACAAAGCAACAAATCCAAATAGATAGAGCAAATCCAGAAGACAAAACCAAAACTTACATTTTAGGCTGAATTTTACAGATATAGGTGGCGGCGTTGAGAGGGCTGAAGAAATGTCAATCACTCGGTCAGTGCTCGGATGAAGTGAGTTGAGAGCCAGCGGCCGTCGGGGAGTTAAAGAGAACTGAGAGAAGGGTAGTTGATATCAAGTACTTTCCTTCCGTACCTCTTGGTCCTCTCTAGTCCAGCTAGCTCAACGGTTGCGTAACACAGCAGACGATCGTCCCGACTTTGCAGAAAACATGCAACCTGCAGGTAATTACTCTCGAGATACCCAATTCCGACCAGCTTCGCTGTGGATCCCACTCCTCGGAATAATACCAACAATACTGGATCGAAATCTGCAGTCGGCGCTCCACTCATCGTAGGGCGTCATTAATATAATTCCAACTTTTTGGTTTATATTCCCGAGTGGAAAGATTGCCGTGTTAGGGTACCCGTCGCTTCCAGTCCAAGTCCAAATTCAAGTCCAAGGCCCTGCGATGTGCCCCTGCTTACTTTTCTAGATGTTTCGACCTCTGGGCTGAAGTTGCGCCCGGTCTCTCACGTTTCGTGTACCCATTCATTCCTGTCAAAAAGCAATGTGCGACGCCGCCGTTGAGGCGTCGTACCTGCATGAGTGTTTTGTTTATCGGCGGGATCCGCTTGCCGAGACAAGTACCAGTACTTAGTATCACACCATCGCCGCGCAACGAAAGCTTGAAGTTATAATTATCAAGAACTTATAAAGGAAACATGGAAGTACCTGGACCATAGTCTATCAGACTACCTGGACAACAGTGCAGACTCAGCTACTAGGCGGCCAATACATGCAAAAGATAAGGACCAAGCCGTCCATAGCCGTATGAGTCCGCAAATGGTACCGGTATACGTATGGATATAAATACAGCATCCACTAAATTCTCGCCTCCAAACATTCGGGGAAGGACGAGAAGCGCCACAAAGAACCAAATAGGACGGTTCCTAGCGAGAGAAGAACGGCACTGAAGAATTATTATCCCACCTACGATAGATCTACAAGGAAAAACATAGCTCCGAGTCCGCACTGTTACGGATTCAGTAGGTACACACAGGTATTCAGGCTCCTGCTATCTGGCCTATCGCGCTTCCATGCGCCATCTTGTAGCTCTTACATTGCTGTCTGGCGAATCAGTGGCCTTGATTCCTATCAATCTCTCCGCGGTTGAAAGGTGGCGTTCGTTTCTTCTGGAAACCTCAGATAAGGTGCACTTGCTAACATGCCCAATGACTAGTACACGAGGAAGCGCTGCGCTTCGCTGTTCGATATTCGGGTCAGCAACTTAATACCAGAAAATGCAACGTCTGAGACATGGCTGAATTTTAAGCCCAGAGCGGTAATGAGGGAACATTTCCCTACCCCTCTGGGCAAGTTTTGTCACATGCATTTTCTAATACTAAATCGACGATACGAGTAGGTAGATACAGCCCAGTGTTGGATCTTGCTGTGTGCAGTAGCGGTATACGCACAGCAGAGAACTTTGTGCCGAAATCAACCATTATTGCGTCTTGGTAAACAATTTTATACCTGGCCTCACCGGCCTTACCATCTACAGTTTCGGCTCCATCCGAGTGCCAAACCAAATGTTTATTTAAGAGACGCTTTGACCGTTGAGTTTATCCTTCGAACCTTCATAGGGTCTATAGACATGAAACTGCTAACACATTTCTATGGAGCCATGAAAAATTTTCGTTACTGGACCGTGCATCATATCAAGATACGAACTGGGACTGTTGGAAGTCTTATCAGTCTTCCGGTCTGAACATTGCATTGCATTCACCGGATCCAGTACTCACCACAGGTACCGAGATATGTTCAAGAATGCTTCTGTTGCGCTAGACTTGCCGTAGACCCGTGAATAGCTCCACCTGGACTGCTTTGTGCAGCAATTGGACGGAATATACGATGCACGTTGGCATAAAACTTTCTGACATGGCTATGGTTGTTCCCCTCCAATTTCCTCCTTGATTAGGCCATGGCCAAAAGATCTGCTGAAAAATTTGCAATAGATACCTCCACGTGTATCATTCGAGTTTACTACGCTCCACCAGAGATGGATTTTTACGCCGGACTCTAATTAATAGGTGCAAATTTTTTTCATCCACCGGCTTGAAAGGAAACGAGGGAGCTAGGTATCAACCCCACATAAGTACATGGGTGACGGTCCGAGCACCAGGGCGGGAATTAGAGTTTTTGATACCGCGCCGGAACAGTTTACGGGTCGGCCCGTAGTCTGCCTTTGTATTTCCGGCTATTTTCCATCTCCGAGTCCTGCGAGCAATGACGTATGTAAAATTCATAAACCCGGATCCGGAGATTTCAACTTTTCCAACTTCCTACGCTGTTGATGCCGGTAGCCTACGGACAGTGATGACGACATTGTTATATCCCTTTGCTTGGAAATCTACCAGACGCTAGTACCGAAGTTCTCGGATATGGGCTCTCGGGAGCTTGCATGGGATCTTCCGGTGCCGATTGTCAAACCCCGTATCGTCTTCGGCCGATCTCCGGTAGCTTGCAAGACGGCAGGTGGCCATGGTGGCAGTCTGGGAGATTGACTGACGACACATCAATATCGCGCTGAAAATAGAGAACTTGGACTTAAAGCTTGTTTCGAGTGATGCCATGCACTACGTATGTTCCGACCTTGTTTGTCTGGGGGTTTCATAGATGTTCAAACTTCACAGAGGGGAGACAACACGCCTGTGATAGCTTCGTTCATGGCTTGTTTATATAGCAAGTTTGTTTATGCCATATGTCACTCATTGTGTTTCCAAGACCATGGGATGCTACGAGGCATGTTTGTAAAAAGTTTTATGTATTCACTGGAGCTAAGATTATCAGCTGGTGTCGTGGCGCAATGGTAGCGCGTTGGCTTCCGGTTCTTCAGATTGCCAAAGGCTGCAGGTTCGAGTCCTGCCGATATCGTTTTGTTTTGTTGGTGTTCATTGGGTTTTTTGGTAGTTTTGGTGGGGACTGTAGATTGGCCAGATATGAGGAGTTGCATGCCTGATGGTACAATGAGCACGGCCTCTAATACATGTTAAAAGAGAGAGTTCGTTATACTAGAGCTGGTCATGTTAATGGGATCACCACAGGTGATGGATAGAATGACTCCGGTGGTGGATGGGTTCAGTCCCGCTCATCGTGATCAGGCAGGACATGCACGCGATGTTGTGTATGAAGTAGAGTATGATATGTCGATGCTACTTATCCAAAGCAAACCTCCAGCTAGCAGCATTCAGGTGTCTTCGAGTAGTCAATCCGTGCAGGCAACTTCGACTTCCGCACCTACAACAGAGCACAAGGTAAGGCAGATATATTGACCATATACCGGAAACCAACTGGTCCATCTCCACTCATATAGATACCCCGTATCCATACCATCGGGCCTCTGCCTACACCTTTCATCCGCGCCGCCGCAGCACAGATCCAACCGCATCTTCCCTCCCCCAAAAGCAAAAACCCCTCGTGTAGTGGTATAACTTATATCATACGATAAATCTGCTTCACTATCCATCCATCCACCTGTCAGCCTCTTCCCATCATCCCATTCAAAACACCACTCACATTCCAAACTATCCTGCGCTGTCTCTGGCAGCTCCTCAATCACAACACCGGGCCTACCCGCAACCCTCGAAAACGGCGGTATCACCGTGTTGGGCGCTACTACCGTTCCTTCTTCGATACGTACGCAGTCTTTAATGATCGAGAATTTCCCCTATCCCCAAATTAGTGCATGCGTGTCAATGAGGAGGGGGAGTTGGGGGTTGAGGGGGGGGGTACAATAACCGATCCCGCACCTATATGCACAAAGCTCCCGACCATCGCAGCTTCCACCACCGCGCCCTCACCAATAAAAACATGGTCCCCCAATTTCATGGGATAAAAACTAAAAATTCTGTTTTCCTCCCCTCCTTCATCAACCCCTTTCCCCCTCCTTCTCTGCGGTGAAGTGATCATGAACTCACCCTCTATGCGTCTTCCCGGGCGGCCTCAACACACTGCTCCTCGCAAAAAAACAATACCTCCCCACGGCGATCGCAACATTCCCATGTTGCCCCGGAGCGCCAGAACGTCGTAGATCCCCGCGGATCGTGCAATCCGCTTGGATTATCGTCTTCCCGCCAAGAATTATGTTTTGAGAACCGAGGATGTTGGATTTTCGCGAGACTTTGTTCCCAGTGTCGGTTTCGATGTATTCGCCTTTTACTTGTTTTGGTGGCATGGCTGCTGGTGAAGGTGAAGGTGGAGGTGGAGCTTGACGCGGTGGATGGTTGGTAAGGTGGGGCAGGGATAAAGGGATCATGTGAATGCGCGACAGGTGTAAGGCGCGCGGTAATGTGTTGCCGCGCCGGGAAGGAAACTTTTGAAAACATCGGTAGCCGGCAAAAGTCTCCGAACTCATTCCCCCGCCCTCTCATGCGGATTCAGACTTGATGCAGGAAACGATCACCACCCCCAACAAATAAAATTTGGAGTTTCTCTCGACTCAATCAAGACAATCAACCGACATATAGTACATGCCGACCACTGGGACTCCGGGCCCGACATTCCCATGTGTGGTTTCGACGGGATTCCCAACTCGGCGATCCGGATTGAGTGTATTCTACATGTGTTACCTTTGAGCTCCCGGAAAAGTAGCCTTCTGCACTACTTAGTACATATAGAGTGCTTAACGGAACCGCAATTTCCACAGCGTCGCAAGATTTACACTCCTGTCGCCGCTCCTTTCCAGCTAAGTACCGCGCGAGACTGGCCGACCGCTCTTGCCCAACCGCCGACATACACACCGGACGAGTGCCGGCGGGTATAGAAAGTGCAGGTTCGGGATGTTGGAGCGGAGCGGTTATCGAAACTTCCCCAGTCAATGCGCATGCGGGTGGGGTATTCTTAGCTCATATATACCCGCTGTGCTGCAAGACGTCAGGCCGTAGAGAAGGCTCTTACTCATCTCGGGAGGCCGTCAATTGCATGAACCCTCACCTCGAGGCATTCTCGTCTAAATATACCCCCTCCCCCCGACACACTCTATTGTAGATAACGTACCCCACTCTATTGATCTACATCCCCGGCACCCGGATAATTAAACTAGAGCAGAGTAAACAAAAGCAAAGTATTTTGGTTTTTGGGTTTTACACCTCCGGATGCACCGAATGGGTGTGATGCTTTGATATCCACACATAATCACTCGATATGTTTACGTCGGTCGTTCCTGCAGTGAGACTGCGGGGTTCAGTGGTGGCTGGTGGGTAGGTCGTGTTCCTATGTGTGAGGAAGTAAATGGTGGTATAGGTAGATGGGTTGGAAATATGCCTTGTCGGTATGTGTGTGTGTATTTCAACGGCGCCAGTGAGATAAGTGTGGTTGGTGAGGAAGATGAATGGGAAAAAGGTGGATTGGTGGTATATATGGATTGGTGAAGAAAGAACCATAGCGGGTCTGCTGGCCAAAACTTCGCCAGGACACCTCTGGATCCGTCCAGGCCAGTAACCTCGCTGTCTCCGGAACGGCAGACAAAGAGTAGCAGAATAAGGTCTCTCGTCATATGAAGAAGGTTAAATGTGTATGGCATTGGGATAGGAGGCTAGATTCAGTATTATTGGCAGTAAAGGGGTTTAGGAAGGATAACGAGATGCACCTGTCGGTTGTAGGTGCGGCAGTCTAAGTTGACTGTAAGAATTGGCTGCTCGAAGACATCTTCGCTGCTGGGTGTAAGTTGGAGGTGTATTCCATGGTGAGTGAAGTAGTCGACATATCATACTTCACACACAATGGTCTGCGTGTGCACGAGCTGAATGACTGAATCGATATCCATCCACTGAAGGAAGGAAGGAAGGCAGCCAGTCATTCCATCTGCCTTACCTTTACCTCCTAACACCTTATATGTACGAGGGGCGGACTCAATTGGATACTAGGAGGAGCGGGAATGGGAACAATACTTTCCGTGATGATTATATCCATACAGAATGTAGTGTTGACAATCCAAAACACATGAGCTCTAAATCCCACCACCTTTTCGTAGCTTCAACCCTCACGTGACAACCACCATACCCCAACGCGCCAAACACGTCCTCCCGTATTCCTTCACCAACCATCACAACAATGCCCCCCCAACCCTCCACCTTCACCTTAAAAACCGCCTTCCTCTCCTCCCAAACCCGCCTCCTCTCCACCCTTCCCCCCCCACCCCCACAATGGCAACAAAACCTCCCCCCCAGCTCCGAACACGGCGATCTCTCCGCCTCAGTCCTCGACCAGGTCCTTTACAAACTCTCGATCGTCGCGCGAAAACACCACCACGAGGTATACTCATCCCAAACACTCCGGCACATCGCGGAGCAGATCGATTCGCTATATTATGAAGCGGCGCTGGGGAAGGAAGGGGAGGTGGGGAAGGAAATTGCGGTGTTAAGGGTGGGTGTGGATTTAAGGCTTAAAGAGTATACCCCCCCCTTATTTTGCCCCAGGGGGAGGGAGGGTTGACAGGGGAAAAATAGGAATATTGAGGCGCTCCCAGAGAGTTATCCCAGGCAAGATGGTGAGACGGAGGAGGATTTGGAGATGTATCAGACGCTAAGGGCGAGGCTGAAGCGCTCATGTGATGTCTTGGAGGGGCAGAGAGGGAAACATGCGTATTATGAACGGCTGCGGGGGATGCTGAGGAGGTTTGAGAATCCAACGGAGAGTGTACAGCCGAATTTGGTCACGAGGGATGGGAGACTTAATGCAGAGCTTGAGAGGACGAAGGTTTTAGCGGTGCTTTTGGCGGTAGAGGTGGGGAAGGCGGGGTTGAAGGGGAGGCGGGAGGAGGAGGGGGAAGATGGTGAGGAGGAAGAAGACGAGGAGATGGAGGATGAGGGGGAGGGGGAGAGCAGTAGGCTGCTGGGTCTACTAGCCAATTGAGTTGGCGATGGCATGTATGTTTCTTGTTTTCTTTGGGCTACTATAGGTGCGGCAGGCGTTGGAGGCGTGGGTTTACAACTTCAGTTTTGTTGAATTTCAAGGTCGATACCTGCGTCCGGAACTTTTTGCCATATCACGTGTAAAAGCCTGGAGCGAATTCCCAAGTGCGTACTAGCGAACACGTGATTGAGCCCTCCGGTTTCTTTCATTCAAAAGGTTCACATAAGATTTATCGTCAAACCAAGGCAAAAAAAAGACCACACACACCTATAACCCCCGTATCCCCGCCAAAAACACCCTTCTCGAATAAAACCATGCAATCCGTGAAATTCCAGGGTGTCTTGCCTCGTCCGGCAACATCTGGCTTGGCGCCAAAACGGCAAAACATCTTTGATACTCGATCGCAGATACTCAGCAACAGCAACAGCAACAGCAACAACAACCACCATCACCGCGGCCGCCCAGAAAAGGAAGAAGATAAAAAATACAACTACGACATGTTCCCTGGCGGCGCTGGACACCAGCTAGACCTGAACCATCTGTGGCAGCAAGTACAGGAGCTCTCTGCCGTTCTTGCGGCGAACCGGGAAAGCACTGTAGGCTTGGTCAAACGCGCCGATGAGATCAGAGTTAGTACCCCCTCCCCCCCCTTCTCCTTATATTGCAAGCAGAAGGTTGATTGTGTGCGCGAAACAGAATCGAGGCGGCGATCCGACGGTAGAGGCGGGGAATCTTGTTAGTGCGGTGAACGGCGATGCTTCGATACCTTCATCTCGAGAGCTGGAATTGACGGAAGAGAATAAAGCGCTAAAACAAGAGGTTTCGGATCTGAGAGCGGAAAATGAAGATCTGGGATTGTTGGCGCAGGACTATGAAGCTGTGCTGGAAAAGGTTTTGGAGGGTTTGAGGGTGTATGCTGTGAGTGGTCATCCCCTCCCTCCCCCCGGCCCCACTGACATGTGAGTGTATATAGCATGAACATAGCATCGCGACAATCAATATCCATTCAGCGTACACTAACC